ACAGACTAAATGGTACTGTTCCGACTGACGGGTATAATGGTGTCTTGTTCGGGACAGGGGAGATGTCCCTGTATGTTTATACTGGTATTTTATCAAATCTTCTACGTGTTCTTTACGTCTTTACTTCTATACTTCTCTTTAAAACCTGTACCTTTAAATATAAATGTTCAAAGAATCTATGCAATGATTTTTCAAAGTTTATATTTAGGTTCGACAGTCCAATATTAATCGTAATTATACAGATATCTTTGTATGGTCTGTTCATTTTGTGGAGGGTCCTTAAGTACACTGTTGTGACGTATTTCAGGGTCAATTTCTCTTGTTCCCCATTACCGAGGCGTATACTAGACACCCCGGACTTTAGTATCATATTTATAATCTTAGATAATTATCTCAGGTAATTAATAATAAAGAACACCACATAAGCCTTTTCTTGTTTAAGAAAGTCATATAAATTTATTGAGTTGTGGTGCAGAAAGGTCGATAGCTCATCTCTAAAACAATCCGTAGTACTGTATATTTAATTAGACAGGCTGTAGCAACCAATTGCTTTTTATTTATTTAAATACGAATAGATCAATAAATGAAATACAGGCCAAAATTGTTGTCATCCAGAGGAAGGCCTTGTCACATGGAATAAACTTGTGAAATATTAAGGCATTTATACAAATTGTTCCAAAATTATTTTTCAAGGTTAATTTTCTTTACAAGTGAGTCAAACTCAAAGGTCAAAGTCAAAAATGTTTCTATCCATGGAAAAGATCTTATATACACATGTGAAGTATGAAAGCTCTGGGGCCAACTTTTCAGAATTCATGACCAATATTAAAATTGTGTAAATTCTTGCGCAATTTTGGGTCAAACTCAAAGGTCAAGATGTCAAAAACGTTGGTACCCAAAGAAAGGCTTGTCACAAGAAATATACACGTAAAAGTAAATTATGAATGGCATAGCTTGAACCAATCAAAAAATTAAGGGTAATGTAAGTTTTTTGCGGACAATCAGACAAACAAACAGACAGGAGATAGAAAGGGTAAAAACTATTTACGATTCTGGGGGCATAGAAAATATCACGCATATATTTTATATTTTTCAGTAAATCACGGAAAGATTTTTGATCAAAAATGATTGTGCTTCCATTGAACCAAACTCACCTTTATAAAAGAGTCCTTTCTCTTGAAAAGTATGTCAAAGGGAGACACAAAAGAGCAAAATCAAAAATCTTTACAATACAAGAAGCATGGGTTACCATATGTACAGTGGAATACAAAAATTCATAAAAATCCTTACAAAGTTACATATAGTGGGTTTCAGTAAATGTTCTACAAAGCCTCTTTTTTTACTCCTCGCTACAATATTAATAGTAGTGAAGGAGAAACTGCAAGAGTACTGTGCAACAATATATTCGAGAAGTGGTGTAAATCAGATGTAGATGCTAAAAAAATCCAAGGAACTTTTGCAAATTTGAAATCGCAAAATTTTACCAAAATCAGCAGCAAAAAAACTAAAGACTTTTCAATTTAACTTAATGTACACAATCGACAGCTGCTTTTTCAATAAAAATCGAACTTGGAAATTAACTTACCTCATCAATAGTCATTTGCATAATTATTTTGTTAAAAAACGTTTTGATTATACACACAATTACTTTGAATTGATATTCAAAAGATACTTGAGTTTCTGTCTATGTGGATTTTTGGAGACCAGGTCTTCCAACAATCTATTGGAATTCCCAGGGTCCAATTGCGACACGTTACAAGTACATGTAGATCTATTTTTGTATTCATGTGAAGCGGAATTTGTCCAAAATCTTATAAGTGAAAAGAAGAAAACATTTGCAGTGGCCTTCAACTCGACATCTAGATATACGTACTGTCATTTAACAATGGTTATTCCCATTCTTATTTCGAGCTTGAAATGAAATAAAATACCACAGAATCTGACACATTTGTATCAAAATTAGATATTTTTCTTGAAAAGACGTTGAGAGTACAAGCCTAATGGTAAACGTGATGGCTTCAACTTTTCAATCGTCAATTTCCCTAACTTAGGCAGCAATATACCTTCATCACCTGCATAGAAGAGAGCAAACACCGGCCTCCAAAACATCAGAGGTGGGACCAGGTGCCATGGAGGAGTGGGCATCCCTTGCCGACCGGTCCCCCCCCCCCCGTGTGCTCCTTGTCATGATCGGGAAATAACGGAAAATCCATCGTCAATTCAATGTGTAAACAATAAACTCCGTATGCTGTTGTTGAAGGTATTGCTGCAAAAGTAAGGGAAGTTGACGATTAAAAAGTTAAAGTCATCACCTTTATCAAAGAGTTTGAATGTTACAGTGTATATTACAATTAACGTCTTTCTCAAGTAAATATTCAAACATGAAACAGATGAGTCAGACTTTGTGGTATCTTTTATCTCAAGCTCACCAGGGTATATTGTATCTACATACATGTATATAAGAATGGAAATAACCATTGTTAAATGACAATACTTCGTCGATATATCTAAATGTCGAGTTGAGGGCCACAGCAAATGTTTTCTTCTTTTCACGTATAAGTTTTTGTACAAATGCTTCATATTAATACAAAAATAGGTCTGGTAATGCAGGGGGGGGGGATTGGTACTGCAGTACCCTGGGAATTCCAATAGATTGTTGGAAGACTGGTTGGTCTCCAAAAACCACGTAGATCTTGTTAATAAGAAATTTACGCATCTTTTTGATGTCAATTTCAGAGTTATTTGTGTGTACAATCAGACTTCTTTTTTTATCAAAATAATTTTGCAAATGGTAAAAAGAATTAAGGTAAGTAAATTTTCATTTTTATTGAAAAAGCAGCTGTCAATGATATCAAAAGGCCTGAACTTTATTTTATCGTGGGGAATGGTTTTGTACATAAAGTTGAAGAATCGCGAGTTTTTATGCTTTTTATTACAAAATCCTGTGATTTCAAATTATCCAAAACATGCTTTGATTTTTAAGTATCAACATTTGATTTACACTGCTTCTCGGATATATTGTTGCACAATACTCTTTAAGTTTCTCCTCTACTTCTATTATTATCTTAGTGAGGAGTAAAGAAAAATGCTTGGTTGAACATTTACTGGAACCTGCTATGTATCTTTGTTAGTAAGGATTTTTATGAAGTTTCAGAATCCAATATAGATATGGTAAGTCAAATTCATTTTGGTTGTTTGAGATATTAAAAATATTTAAAACTTACAATTTATTATTACGTCAAATGCTGACTGACGTTTTCCATTCTCATTTTTAAGCCATTATTCACACACAGAACGGATTTTCCCGTTATGTCTTGATCATAACAAGGAGCACACGACAGGTGTGACCGGTCGACAGGAGATGTTCTCTCCTCCATTGGATAGAGGACTCACTCCTCCTTGGCACCTGATCCCACTTCTGATTTTCGAGGTCCGTGTTAGCTCTGCTCCAATTTTGTGTTGTTTGATGAACTTTTGAGCTTGAATATTGTTCGTTATTTCCATATATTTCATTAGAATACTAAGGTAGAGCTTTAAATAATATCATAGAATATTATGCGGTTTTTTTTTTTACTTTTGTATATGTTTGTTGTAGAACAGCATCTGTCCAAATGTTCTCAAAGAAAGGTACAGTTCTACCGCTAGCATATTTTACAATACTGTCAACTGATTATTCTATTTTTAAAAATCATAATCATCTCCTTGTTATATAATACATATACAAGACCGATAGAGAGAACAAAGAAAATGGAGCGAAAATTTTCTCTGTTGCAAAACGGTCAGTCTAAGTCAATAGAACTTAGTATCAACATTAATTACATCAGATTGTATTTTTATTTTCCTTACGTGTAGTTACAAGTACCTTCCCTGATGATATCTTCTATTGTTAAAGACTGTATTTTTGACCATTTGATCAGTTATTTAAACTTTGTGGTTTAGAAATCTAGATTATAATTTTGAATAAGTCATTTCTGTCGTTAAATCGCATTATACTTTTCTCACAAATCGTGAATCATATAATCTCCCGATCTACAGACTTAACATTACACCAGACAAAAATAACAAAAGCTGATATAACGACTCAATGATCAAGGAAATGTTCTTTTAAATTTGTGTCGAACTAAAGTCGCCTGAGTACAAGTCCCGATTTTTTTAATGGAAGGCGTGAAATATAAACATAGAAAAACAGCCTCTGGGATAAGGAAACAGTAGTCACCGATTTATTCCCAAGAAAAAGACATCTTTCCTTTAAAGAGATAATGATCGAGTGTAAAACTAATGCATTTATATGGGAAAATGTGAAAAAAAAATGACTTTTTAAGCGAAAAGGAAGTGAAGCTGGTTAATCTTACCACTGGGGAAAAAGTGGAATATTACCCCATTTGTTCAAAGAGCGGTAACTAATTGTCAGGAATACAATGCCAATGAACAATGAAAAATAGGAACAAAGCAAACACGGGCCTCCGAAACATGAGGTGGGATCAGGTGCCATAGAGAAGTGGGCATCCCCTGCCGACCTGTCACACCCGCCGTGTGCTTGGAATAGAAATTTGGGCGAGTGTCATCGAGTGTAGGAAATATCCAATTATAACAGCGTCTCGTACACGTCAAAGAAGTGGGGTTTAAGTCGTCTCATCGTTGTCAACAACAATTTAATGTTCCTGATATTACTAATATCTTAACCAATGAGAATCTATTCGCCATTTGACAGACGCTAATTACGTAGCGTCTAGAATACCACGTCTTACTGAAAATCCAAGGATGATAGAGAATTGTACTATACTACAATCTGCCATAAAGAAAACCATACAACTCACCCTTTTTTTAAATGCGTTTATTATGGTGCTCAAATCTTTCTATTTTTATATAATGACTTGTAAAATGTATTTGTATAAAGAACAGATGAGAAGCGTTGTTAAATTGTGAAGAAAACAGAGAAATAAAAGAAATAGAATCGCTCTCTTGCCAGGTGCCGGTTCGGTATATAAGCTTCATTGCAATTAAGCAATCTTGAACCCAGAAAATGAGGTTCGTCCGTTTTTGTTGTCACTGTACATAGAACCTTGACCTGGCGTGGGGGAAACAAGCATCAGCTCGTCTCCACCTCTGAGATACAAAATAGCAAAACCGGTAGCAGCTCCTGCGTCATATGCCTTCTCAGTATCTGCAGCAATGGCGCCCTTGATGACGCCATTGTGCTTTAACGCGGCGCCCATCTCCCCGTATTGCCCGGACGATCCTGCCACGTGTATTCCTGCAGCTATCAATGTCCAAGTAAAGCTATATACTCCAGAAGTTGGGGCTGTGAAAATTCCGGTTCTTTTATTGTATCCATTTCCAAGGTTTATCTCAACACTGTCAAAGACGAGGGTTTGTCCTTTTGGTAGGGCTTTGAATGAATTTGAATAATAAGCGTAAAATGCAACAGTAGTTGGCTGGTTCAAACGATGCCATCTGTTAATAACTGAAACATACAAATAAATTGAAAATCGTATTTGGGGTTTTATCGTGTAAAAACTACAATAGCGAAACTCTTCATTTTTATACCATATATCACTCACATTAAGTTCAGCGTACATGCCAAGTTTGGGGGAATCTACCGTCCAGGTATTCTTAAGGGACCGTCTCATAATACAGGTAAATTTACCATGAGATTATATAGGAAAGTGCCACTTTTTAGCACTTTAAAGCATGTTATACAAATACTACACTAGACTTTTTGTTCAAACTATAATATATGATAAGTAATACTTATTGTACATTATATGTAAGAAACACAAAAAATTGATAAAAATCATATGGGACATCTCAAAATGCAAAAAATTAACGACGTTTCCTGTTTTTATAGAGTACTACAAAATATAACGGGCACAAAAGATTTTTGTGAAAACATAATACAAATATTGCAGATATTCTTAAATTTCTATGTTTTGAATATCTAGAGCGCATGTTTATTACTTTTTCTTTAATAACATTTTTATTACCAATTTCTTAAGAGCTTCAGTTTATCATAACGTCAAAAAACACATATAACGACGTTAACCTACCTATCAATTGCAAAAGCGGTTAAAAAATCAGTTATATAAAATTTTAATTATATTTTTTAACATGTTATTTCTTAAGTTTGTTTAATTTTATTAATTAAATGAAAAAAAATGCTTTAAAACAGTAAGTACGCTTCATTTTACTATGATGCGCGAAATATTGCGCAATGAAAACCAAAGTCGGCCCCCTTAAATATATCAGTACGTGTTAGTAAAATAATTGTTAATGATGGAATTAATATTTATCCAAACATGTTCGACAATTTATTTGAGGAGTGTTGTAAAATACATACAAAATCAACAACATAAAAACTTACGATTTTTCAACTTTCTATACAACTATTCCCACTATTAATTAATCTCTTGGTTTTCTGACATCATTGACAGCTGCTTTTTCAAAAAGAATGGAACTCGTAAATTAACTTGCATTTCCAAAATTACTTTGTTAAAAAACATTTTTACTGTACACACAAGTACCCTGAAATTGATATTTAAAAAAAGTTTGAGTTTCTGATTGACAATATCTATGACAATATCTATCTGGTTTTTGGAAACCAGCTCTCCAAACAATCAATTGGAATTCGTATGGGTACCAATTGCGCCCCGTTATTAGCAGACCCATTTTTGTATTCATGTGAAACGAAAATTGTCCAAAATCTTATACATAAAAAGAAAAAAAACATGTTTAAATTCGTCTTTTTTGTAGGTTCTATGGTCGATACCATGACATTGTCAGCAAATACAATTTAGCATTAGGTCAAATGCTGACTTTTTTTCATACTGATTTTTAGACTAATATTTACACACTGAGTTTTCCACGGATTTCCCGTTATCTCCTGGTCATGAAAAGGAGCACACTGCGGGTGTGACCGGTCGGTAGGGATACTCTCTCCTCCATGGCACCTGATCCCGCCTCTGAAGTTTTGGAGGCCATGTTTGCTCTGCTCCTATATTGTAATGTTTAATGGATTTGAGCTTGAATACTGTTCGTTATCTCCTCAAATTTGTATCGAATTCAAAAATATTTTTATATGGGTGTAATAAAGATGCACATTTATTGTGTTCTAATAATATAATAAAAAATATTTAGGTCTTAAGTCAGTTCTGAGGTAGACATTGGAAGGTACACATGTTTTACAAGTTTTGCTGATTCAGCATTTTTCGTGATTTTGGCAATATTCAAAGCCAAATTTTAAAAATGGCCAGATTAATACAGTTGTTACCTGTATCACACATAAAACAAGAAGTATTCCTCTTTTAGAATTTGAAGTCAAATCCATGGGCTCTTTTGAAAATCGAATCTGTTGCCTAGCAACAAAAATGGGCTTTTTGATGCATAAAATGAGAAACAATGTAAAAAGTTTGCGGAAAAATCAAATGAACGGTTATTTATGATAAACAAGATACAAATTTTAAAATAGTATAATTAAATTCGGTCTCCCTAGCACATTATTGAATATTGCATAATTCTTTATCTCCATAGCAACGGCAGGTTCTCCATAGCAACAAGGCAAAGAAAGATAATTTTGGCGTGTATTCGAGCAATCTTATTAAGACTTATTCAAATTAAGTCAGAAAAATGTGATTGAGCAAAACTGACAATGAACTGTTGGTCAATCTTAATTTTTTTTTTCGTCTTTAATCAACACATGGCAACGGTTCCCAGTGCATGGCAACCAATGTACCCTATGCCTCCTGTAAAGAGATTTGACTTTTGGATCAGTGTTCGTCATGGAAATGAATATTAATGTGTTGATGATTGTATTTGTGGAGAGTGCTGAAAAAATATATGAATTGTTCCATCAATTGTTGTCATGGCAACAACTACATGTGAGTGAATTTAAAATGGGGCGAGTTAAAAAAAACAGTTTAAATTCTTAAACAGAACTGTGACTGTGCGAATTTAAAATGGGGCAAAATTTCTTGTATGTGTGAACGGGCAAAAATCATATGATACCAAATTAAGGATGTTTTCCATAGATAATGTTGTAATGTACGAAAGCCGGATAGGCTCATTTCTGAGAAGATAAAAAAAAATTTAACTCGTTATAACGAGTTAATTATCTCGTTATAACGAATTAGTATCTCGTTATAACGAATTAGTTATCTCGTTATAACGAATTAGTTATCTCGTTATAACGAATTAGTTATCTCGTTATAACGAGTTAGTTATCTCGTTATAACGAGTTAATTATCTCGTTATAACGAGTTAGTTATCTCGTTATAACGAGTTAGTTATCTCGTTATAACGAGTTAGTTATCTCGTTATAACGAGTTAATTAACTCGTTATAACGAGAAAATTAACTCGTTATAACGAGATAACTTTTCTCGTTATAACGAATTAATTTTCTCGTTATAACGAGTTAAAAATGGTTTAAAGTTGATATATCTAAGTGATAGGAAGTATGGCATATTAATCCAAGTCGATCAAGTTTGTTTAAAGTGTGTTTGATGAAGATTTTATTGAAAAACAGCAAACTAGTTTTTTTTTTTTCAAAGGGTTGTGTCTGTGATTGTAGTTTGTTTATTTATAAATGATGCATTTGATTTGTATTGTTTCACTTAAAAGACCGAAGACAATTACGTGAACATGTATACGGAAACTTTTGGCTGCCTCGTGATGTTGTGTTATGAGTGGATAGTATAGTAGCCCCCAAATTTTACGCGGGCCCATGATCTAATTGCTGATCTCTCCATACCCCCTTCTTCAAAACATTTCTGACTCAAAAAATACTATATATCACACTGTAAGTGTATGTTGCATTAACGCCTGCGTTAGCTTGCTATTATAATGTATTAATTTAGGAAATTAGACATTGATTATGGAAGCTAATAAGTCATCCAAAACATATAAAAAAAAATTAGTGTCTTAATAACTTTTAATCATATCGCAAATTATATTTGCATCTCTTTATCAATTTGAAAGTAAGTTTTCACTGATAATTATCAAATAAACTTCAATGGCATTAAACCTACAGCCATTTTTAATTCCTATTTTGCTATTAATTTGGAAATAAAGGGGTAACTTATTATTTCGATATAACGAGATAACTAACTCGTTATAACGAGAAAACTAATTCGTTATAACGAGATAATTAATTCGTTATAACGAGATAACTAACTCGTTATAACGAGATAATTAACTCGTTATAACGAGATAACTAACTCGTTATAACGAGATAACTAAGTGGTTATAACGAGAAAACTAATTCGTTATAACGAGATAACTAACTCGTTATAACGAGTTAATTAACTCGTTATAACGAGATAACTAACTCGTTATAACGAGATAACTAACTCGTTATAACGAGATAATTAACTCGTTATAACGAGATAACTAACTCGTTATAACGAGATAACTAACTCGTTATAACGAGATAACTAACTCGTTATAACGAGATAACTAATTCGTTATAACGAGATAACTAATTCGTTATAACGAGATAACTAATACGTTATAACGAGATAACTAATTCGTTATAACGAGATAACTAATTCGTTATAATGAGATAACTAACTCGTTATAACGAGATAATTAACTCGTTATAACGTGATAACTAAGTCGTTATAACGAGAAAACTAACTCGTTATAACGAGATACTAACTTGTTATAACGAGATAAGTAATTCGTAATAACGAGATAAAACTAAGTCGTTATAACGACATAATTAACTCGTTATAACGAGATAATTAACTCGTTATAACGAGATACTAAGTCGTTATAACGAGATAACTAAGTCGTTATAACGAGATAATTAACTCGTTATAACGAGTTAATTTTTTTTTTATCTTTTCTGAAATGAGCCTATCCGGCTTTCGTAGTAATGTAACTTACGAAAGCCATGAAGGGACACGTCGATTTTTCAAAAAAGTAAAAATTAATTTGAGATCTCGAATTACACAATCCGTTCCCTCGGATTATCAATTCGTTCTCTCGGTTTATAATTCGAGATCTCGAATTACACAATCCGATCCCACAGATTACTAATTCGTTCCCTCGATTTATAATTCGAGATCTCAAATTACACAATCCGATCCCACGGATTAATAATTCGAGAGATCTCGAAATACACAATCCATTCCCATGGATTATCAATTCGTTCCCTCAAATAACACAATCCGTTATTTCGGATTGTAATTCATTCTCTCGGTTTAAACAATTCGTTCCCCCGGAATGTAAACCCTTCTCATGATTTCATTAATATCAGCTATCTGTATACATCTCGGATATGGGAATACGTGTTTAATGATTAGAATATTGTAGGTGTTTAGATCCTACCTTTTATTACATATTACTGTCCAAAATGAAAAAAATAACATGAACATGACTCAAATCTATATTCTAGTACTGATCTTTATATAAAAAAGTCCTGGGTTTTGTTTTACGTGTATATTAGAATAATTGAAAGTCCTATATAT